GGAAATGCTGACAGATGTGTTTAAAGGGCGTTTTGCGGTAAGCATATGTAGAGGTACGACGGAGGGATAGGACCCAGTGGCGCAATTGCAAAAACTGATAATATTCCTGTGGCGGGACCCCCCTGGATTCTCAAAGAGACTCCCATGATGGAAACGTACGAGCGCTCAGAAAATCATGTACAATAACAATGCCATGGGAGGTCCACCAAGAGAAAGAGGGGGGATGTTCTAGGCCTGGTGGAAATAAAGGATTATGCGTAATCTGCAAAAGAGGTAGAAACAATGATATCAAATTACCCAAATATTTATAGAATCCCAGGATTGCAAACTGTGAAGAATGATAGGGCTCAAATCCAGAGGGCGCAAACTTAGGCGGGAGCCAAAGCAATGTAGTTAAGGAAAGCGGAGCACAGTTGGGTAATTCCAAGAGGACCCATAACGGGATATCTGTCGTGGCATGAAGCATAGACAACTGGAGAAGTCCCCTGTTTTGAGCAGAATTCCCTTTACTTCCTATTCCAGAAACATAATAGGACATGAGGGGCAATCTCTCCAATGTGAGCAGAAGTCCCCTCTTTTGAGTAGAATTCCCTTTACTTCCTCTTCCAGAAACACAATAGGACATAAAGGGTAATCTCTTCAATGTAAGCAGAAGTCCCCTCTTTTGAGCAGATTTCCCTTTACTTCCCATTCCAGAAACACAATAGGACATGAAGGGTAATCTCTCCAATGCGAGCAGAAGTCCCTCTTTTGAGATTTCCCTTTACTTCATATTCCAGAAACACAATAGGACATAATGGATAATCTCTCCGATGTGAGCAGAAGTCCCCTCCTTTGAGTAGAATTCCCTTTACTCTCTATTCCAAAAACACAATAGGACATGAGGGGTAATCTCTCCAATGTGAACAGAAGTTCCTTCTTTGGAGTAGAATTCCCTTTACTTCCTATTCCAGAAACACAATAAAACATGAGGGATAATCTCTCCAATGTGAGAAGTCCCCTCTTTTGAGATTTCTCTTTACTTCCTGTTCCAGAAACACAATAGGACCTGAGGGGTAATCTCTCCGATGTGAGCAGAAGTCCCCTCCTTTGAGTAGAATTCCCTTTACTCCCTAGTCCAAAAACACAATAGGACATGAGGGGGAAACCTCTCCAATGTGAGCAGAAGTCCCTTCTTTGGAGTAGAATTCCCTTTACTTTCTATTCCAGAAACACAATAAGACATGAGGGATAATCTCTCCAATGTGAGAAATACCCTCTTTTGAGATTTCTCTTTACTTCCTGTTCCAGAAACACAATAGGACATGAGGGGTAATCTCTCCAATGTGAGCAGAAGTCCCTTCTTTGGAGTAGAATTCCCTTTACTTCCTATTCCAGAAACACAATAAGACATGAGGGATAATCTCTCCAATGTGAGAAGTCCCCTCTTTTGAGATTTCTCTTTATTTCCTGTTCCAGAAACACAATAGGACCTGAGGGGTAATCTCTCCAATGAGAGCAGAAGTCCCCTCTTTTGAGTAAGGAGAATTAATATGGTGCTTCTGCTCTGGGAGCCTTCATCTGAGAGATGGCAGCTAATATGCTTCAAGACTGGACTATGCACTGAGCAGCACTTCTAAGAGTGTGAAGCCGACTGTACTGAAAAGAAAATAGAAGAAGAAGGCGCTTCTGCGAGCAGTTTCCATTAAAGTTATTGGAATTAATGCACTTAGAAGCTCCCTTCTTCTATTTCCTTCCCTCTTCTGAATAGTTTTCCTTTTACTTCCTGTCCCAGGGACACAACAGGTTGTGAGGGGAAATCTCATCAAAGTGAGGACAAACATACACGACTCAAATCTCGCAAATTCCTGTGACACCACTGGGCTTAAAAAACTTCAACTGAGAAATCAAAGGAGCCAGATGGAAAAAAGTCAGGCAATCGGTGACTGCAACCAACCAGCTGCAGCCACTGTTCAGTTATTCTGGCAGTCATGAGTGCCGGCTGTCATAATACAACAGCCAGGAGCAGAAGTTCAACAATCCATGCTGTTTAGTGTGGATGGTGGAATCTATATATACTTCTCTTGTTCAGCCTGATATGCTGAATGTGAGAAATGTTTATGTGTATGGCTAGCTTTTGGCAGCTGTCACTAGAATGTCATATAGGCATATGCAGAAATAGAAATGTGTTTATGTGAGTACCATTTTATACCTAGAAAACTGCACAACCATTCATGTCTATGGGTGTACCTGGGATGCCCCGGTGGGGGGAACAAGGGGGATTTCTGCTGTATGGACTTGTGCAAGAGCCCTTTCTCAAACCACTTCCTTGCAGGGTTGTACATAATACTGTTGAATGCAGACGTCTTCCTTAGAAGATCGTTGAAGATGATGAAATATAAGACAGGAGCAGGACCACATCACATGAGACACAGAGCTGATGGTGCAGGAGATATTTGAGTCACCTTTATGCAATACTTCATAAGAGCAACCAACGAGTTTCATTAACTACATGTTGCATATGAAATAAAAATGAAATAAAGAAATATAACGAAACCAGTGCTCAATCCCCTGATGACGTCACTCAGAAATTCCTTTGGTAAAGAAGTCTGTCATCCAAAGTTAGTATATGAAGGTATGAGACAAGGTCAAGTAACATGCAGCATGGAGGAAAAGCTTTCTCAGAGGCTCTTAGACAAAACACAGACATTCCAGCCAGGAGGTAAAACCTGGATTATTTGTTTTCTGCTATGGTGCAACTACCTCATGGGAGAAAATATTAATGCTTATGCTGAAAAGCCAAAAATAACTATAACTATACTTCGCACCTAAAGCTAAATGATGCTTGTGTTCCTGTTTCTATGTGTTGCCATGCTAACATAATTATTATATCTACACACCTCCTAATTATTTCCATTTTAGAATGATAACTGTATGTTTGTAAACCTGGAAGGTACTGGATCAACCAAAAATGGGCTTAAAGTAAACATGACATTTGACACTCCCCTCCCCCAATTCTTTGGCATCCAAGGGTGACTTCCGTAAATTTACAAGTCTGCACAAATAAATTCCTGACATGTCGCAATATACAGCCACAGTTAAGGGTTTGTTTTTTTTTGTGTGCCTTTTTTGCATTACAAACCAGTCAATACCCTTCTGTCAATTTAGTTTGCCTACACTGAGATGATGTCATCAGCCTGCCTCAGGCAGGAGGAAACATTTCCAGCCTCCTATTCCCCAGTGATCAGACTGCGACCTTGTAACTAGAGTAGGTTGAAGTAGGGGGCAGATCTGTGTTAGATATTTGTGAGCACTGCCAAGACCTGCACAGACATTAAGATTTAAAGTGTTACTAAACCCACAACAGTAAAATCAGTCTGTATATGCAGTAAAGCATGCTTGTTATACTCACTGTGGAACCTAAGAGGTTAATCCTCTATATTGTGTAAAAAGGCTGTTTGATCCTGTCTTCTCAGATCCTCCCCTTTCTTCTACAGTCCCCAATCCATCTGCTGATAGTACAGAGCCTTAGGAGGAATTTTTTTTTTGGGGGGGGGGGGGGAGGGTGCATGTGATCATCACAGGGACAATCAGCACTGTCCAGATGGAGGATCAGGGGTCATGCAGCCTCATAGAACAGTCAGAGGAGAATTAAAACTTCTCCTACAAGCTTTAAACAGTGCTCGGCCGGACACTGATAGAAGTCACAAGACCGCTACATACTGCTGATGAGAAAAGGTATTTAGCAGTTTATATTTACTGAAATAATTGCATTTCCATGTTTTCTGTACTGTGGGAGACCAGATATAGTGAATGCAGGGTCATGGGTTTAGTAACAGTTTAAGTGACAGTGTCATCTCATTTTAGTCAAGGAAGTAAATAGTGAAACTGGATGATGCTGTTCTGTCCTTCTAGAAAGAAGGGCAGATGAATGCATTCTCACAAAGAGTAATATGATCTCTTAGAAGTACCAGATATCAGTATGCACAATACTTAAAATGTATGTTAGGGCAAAAATAAAAAAAGGAGTATATCTGTGCGATACATGCTTGTTTCCCTGTGTTTTATCCATTTATAGATCCTGCAAATACAGAATAATACCTGTTGGTTTGCCAGAAATCCCCTCACCCTGTCAGAAAATTAGTCAGGAGCTATACAAACTGAAGCTGCTGACTTTTAAAAAACAGCCACTTATCTGTCACTCGGTCCTGCGGTCTGTCCCCCGCAGCCCATTTCACTGGCCGTTCTGTATTCCAGCAGGCCGGCATCTTCAGTGTGGGCACCCGGCTGTGATAGCTTGCGGCTGCGCATGGGCGAGTAGTGCTGCACTTCATGAATGGTCCTGTAGTCTTCTGGGACCTGCCACTTAGGCGATCGGACCAGAAGTGGGTGCAGGTACCTGTCAAATTCGGGTACCCGCTCCCCCCCCCACCCCCCAAAAAAGTTGCCACTCCTTAATGGGGAGCAGTCCTTAAAGCGGAACTTCCCCTTTTGGGTGGAGCTCCGCTTTAAGTTCTGTTGGAGCTGACGGCACACAGCATTTTTGTGGAATGAGCGGTATCAACCCTGCCTTGTTGTCTTTTGCTACACTACTTAACCACTAGCCTACAGGGCACTTATACCCCCTTCCTGCCCAGGCCAATTTCCAGCTTTCAGCGTTGTTGCACTTTGAATGAAAATTGCGCGGTCCTGCAACACTGTAACCATATGACATTTTTATCATTTTTTGTGATAGCTAGAGCTTTATTTTGGTGGTATTTAATCACCTCTGGGTTTTTTTTTCTTAAACAAACCAAAAACCACTGAAAATTTAAAAAAAAAACACATTTTTTTCTTAGTTTTTGTTATAAAATTTTGCAAATAAGTGATTTTTCTCCTTCACTGATGTGCGCTAATGAGGCTGCAGTGATGGGCACTGATAGGCTGCACTGATGGACACTGATAGGAGGCGCTGACAGATGGCACTGATGGGTATTGACAGGCATCACTGATGGGCACTGAAAGGCAGCACTCATATATGGCACTGATAGGTGGCACTGATAGGTGGCACTGACTGGCACTGTTAGGCGGCACTGATAGGCAGCACTGACAGGCATTGATTGGCACTGATAGGCGGCACTGACTGGCACTGATAGGTGGCACTTGGCAGCACTGATAGTTGTCACTGACTGGCATTGATAGGTGGCACTGACTGGCACTGATGGGTGACACTGAAATGCAGCTCAGATGGGCACTGATATGTGGCATTGATGTGGCACTAATGGGCACTGGCAGGTGGCATGGATGAGCACTGAGAGCTGGCACTGATGGACACTGACAGGTGGCACTGCTGGGGCTACACAGATCATCAGGGCACACTGATCATCAGTGCTCTGATCTGTGTACATGTCCCCTCTGAGGAATGCCGATTACCGGCTCTCCTCACGAGCTGTCAGCGTGACAGCACGTGGGGAGAGAAATGCCGATAGCCGGCATTTCCCTGTTTACATGTGATCAGCTGTGATTGGACACAACTGATCACATGACTGAGCCGACATCTTCGGCTCTTTCCATGGATCGGTGATCTGCTGTGTACGAGGGACTGCACCACTGATCGCCGCACTGCGTGCTCTGGGAGCTGCGCATGCGCGGGTTAGAATGGGAGGACATCATTTGACATCCTCCCAGAACGAGAGAACCACCTTGCGTCCGTCATATTTCTATATGGCGGGCGGGAGGTGGTTAAAACCCCTCACTCTCAGATCTTTACAACACAGGCACTAATTATTCATGTACTTACACTAGATGCATTAAAAAATAGTTACAGATTTATTTAATGACTACACAACTGAATGAAAGATAGATGGATCATAGGAGTTCTCTTCTTCCTCCACGTATTTTCTTCATATTTGGGGAGGATTCTGAAAAGGTTTCAGATGTTGTTAAGTGTTGGCTCCTGTTGCAAACAAACCTCATTATAAACAGGGGGAAGATCCCATCATTCTGCTATGATAGTGAAACAGAAACTGATACAGCTGGCATTAGTTCTTGGGAAAATAGCACATAACAGTGGTACTACCATTTTGCTCATTAAAGTCTATTCTGATTTGAAAATGTTCCTTGGCAGAGGGGTTACACCCGCAGTGCAAGGGTTAACTGTTAATTTATTCTAGGGGGGAGTAAAAGCACTTTAACCTACCTGATCTTCTGCTCCCCAGCAGACAGCGCTCCCCTTGCTCCAGTGCAGTGGTTCTTAACCTGGGTTCGATCGAACCCCAGGGGTTCGGTGAGTCAGTCTCGCGGGTTCGGCGGAGGTGAAGACCCACACCTGACTCATATGATTCGTGCAGTAAATATTCATTATTATGTTTTTGTTTTTGTGTGAAAATCATGTTTTAATGGTTTTGTTCTTTGTTCTTAACGGTTTTGTTCATTTTGTGCACCTATGTATAAATATATACCTAAATATATACCTATGTTTTGAATTTTAAAAATCATATTTTATTTTTCCAATTAAGAAGGGTTCGGTGAATGCGCATATGAAACTGGTGGGGTTCAGTACCTCCAACAAGGTTAAGAACCACTGCTCCAGTGGAAGACTGTCCCTTGGTGTCATCATGTCTAATACAAGCCTATGGTCCCTGCATCAGTCTCAATGACATCTGGAGCATGGGGGAGATGTTGCAGAACCGGTCTAACAGTGAAGAGGATCAGAAAATTAAGTAAGTAAATCTTCATTTTATGCCACTAGACCTAAATCAGCAGTCAAACTTTGCAGTGCAGGCTTCCACTTCACATTTCTGGTCATATAGCCAAAACAGGAGATGAGAGGAAATCCCTCCAAAGTGAGGGAATCCCAGGTTCTCACTAGACTCAACAGAACTAGTGCCTTCCATTGGAAAATTTCCCTTCTATTCCTGTTCTGGTGACAACCTAAAACTTTTTTCACTTTCACTCTAGGTGATAAAGGTAAATAGGACAAAAAGAGAAGGTAAAGTAATGGAGTCATGGTGACCAATCATAGTGATCACACTTGTAAACAAAGACTGTATGTTGCAGCCAGCACTAATTAGCTGTGAGGGGAAACAAAGTTTTCCCCCAGAGATTGGCAGCACAGTGTCACCAGAGGAGCCAAACAGTGTCCTTGATCACTAGCCCTCCCAGTACAGTGACACTGTAGTAACACTATACTGGGGTGGCTAGTGATCAAGGACACTGGCTGGCTACTCTGATGAACTGCACTGAATGCCAGTGCAGCTAGTCAGTGTCCCTGATCACTAGCCAAACTAGTACAGTGTCACCATATCGGTGTAGCCCACCACGATATCCCTAATTACCACCACACTAGTCACAATGAAATCAGTCCATTGCAGCCAGCAACAGTGTTTCTGATCGCTGACACGCTAGACCAGTGCCACCAGTAACAGTGTTTCTGATAGCTGCCATACCTGTCCCAGTGTCACCAGACCAGTGTAAGCCAGCAACAGTGTTTCTAATCAATGCCACAACTTTGCCAGTGTCACCAGACCAGTGTAAGCTGGCAACAGTGTTCCTGATCACTGCCATGCCAGTCCCAGTGTCATCAGACCTATACAAGCCAGCAACAGTGTTTCTGAACAGTGCCACATCTGCAGAGAGTCACGAAAACAGGGTAAGCCAGCAACAGTATACCAGATTGCTGCCACGCCAGTTCCAGTGTTGTCAGACAAGTGCAGCTATCAGATTGCTGCCACACCAATCTCAGTACACCAGGACCTCCAAAATGGGATAGGTAGTTAGGAAATTAGATGTGTAATGTATGCCCCTGTGATGGAGGTGTAGGTGGGACAGAACACATGCGAAGAGAAGTGGGAAACACAAGGCTATTTAGTGATCTGGAGGGCACATGATAAGTATAGCAAGGTTCTGGCAAAACAAAAGTTAAATCCGTACCACACGGTGGGGCACACGACAAGGATCACTGAGTTCTGGTAGGCAACAAGGGGGTTAGTCCGTAGCACCGTCTGGGCCCACAACAGGGAGGCAAGAATTAAGTCCAGGTTGGCACACAGCAGGGAGGCAGAGCTCTGGTGGGCAAGGATTAAGTCCGGGTTGGCACACAGCAGAAGGCAGGCTCTGGCAGGCAATGGGTTAAGTCTGGGAGGCACACAGCAGAAGGCAGGCAATGGGTTAAGTCCTGGAGGCACACAGCAGAAGGCAGGCTCTGGCAGGCAATGGGTTAAGTCTGGGAGGCACACAGCAGAAGGAAGGCTCTGGCAGGCAATGGGTTAAGTCCTGGAGGCACACAGCAGAAGGCAGGCTCTGGCAGGCAATGGGTTAAGTCTGGGAGGCACACAGCAGAAGGAAGGCTCTGGTAGGCAATAGGTTAAGTCCGGCTTGGCTGTAGGGTCACACAGCACAAGACCTATCACAGCATACTAGGTTGTGAGCAGGGGAGAATCTGTGTACCCGAGTCCTGCTCCGGTATTTATCTCTGGAGCAGGACGCTCCCCTGTTGACAGGCAATGGCCACCCTGGTGTTGGGTTGCCGTGGAGACAAGCCCCGCCCCCTCACTTCGGCCACGTACAGGGAGCGCGACCTTTGTCTCCGGTGGGTGCAGAGTGTGGGAACATCGGGGCTGCACTGTGCCCAGCGAGACAAGGGGAGGGGGGCTTATGGTGGCATCCAGGTGGCTCGCATGTGGGGAATCCGCATGCAGGCACAGTGGAGAGACAGGCACTTGGCTGAGGGGAAGGTGTGGGGGTCTGCAGCAGAAGGCAGCTCCCTGGCGCCTAGCACACCATTTATGTGGGCTACGTGCGGGCACAGGGGCATGTAATAGGGAAGGGGAGGTGCAGGCATCCAAGGGGGGGGGGGAGAGAAGGAGCAAGGGGTCACTGTGACAGCCCCTTGCAAACCTGAAGGTGCTCTTTGGATTTTAGGCCTCCTATGCGGCTAGGCTTCAAAAAGTCTCACATACATGGTATCTTTACAGGAGGAGGAGTAAGAAAAAATACTTTTTTTAATTTATTTTCCAAACATTTGTGTCAAAAAATGTGATCTTCAAAAGACCCAACATGCCTATAATTATATATCTTGGAGGGACTCCTACTGCAAAACAAAATATGTTGGGAGGGTCTACTTTGTGAAATGTGGTAATTTTTCTCCTGTCTTGGCACATGCCTCAACCTCAAGATGTGTGATAGGTAGTCAGGCAGTCTGTCTCAAAAAGAGACACAATTCATTTGGGTACAGTGTTGCATGACCAAGTAATTTTTGGTCAAAGTATCACATTGCTGAAAACTTAAACATGACCTGGATAGGAAAGGGGTTTAAGATACTGTTCTTTGAATTATTATTATACAGTAGTTATATAGCACCAGAAAGGTTTGCTCAGCGCTGTATATTATAGTGGGGGACAGAACATGAGACAATACAGTAACAAGACAATACACGAGGGGTTCGAGGGCCCTGCTCTTTCGAGCTTACAATCTAGGAGGGAGGGGAAAAGTGGTACAGGAGGAAGTGGCTGTGGGGGATGGAGTGGTAGGAGGAGTGGAGGAGATTGGCTGTTAGCTGAGGGTGGGGTAGGCTTCCCTGAAGAGATGGGTTTTCAGGGTGCACCTAAGGAGGGTAGGTGACAGTCTGATGGATTGGGGTAGTGAGTTCCAGAGGATAGGGGAAGTCCTGGAGAAGTCCTGCACTCGGGCATGGGAGGTGGAGACCAGGTTTGAATAGTTGAAGATGTATTTCTGTAGAAATGTGGCCTCAGTAATATTACCAGTGAGGAAACCATTACAGCTGTCTTACCATCTACAAATATCAGCTATGAAGAATCACACAGAATTACACAGATGCAACATGACAATGAAAAATGTATCGATTTGTATATAAGAATATAATGCTCTGTTAGTGTAAGATAAGGGCAACTGTTATGCCTACAAAAAAAGAGCAAACACCAGGAGCCTTTCTTTTTTCCTCTTCACATGACATAATTATTCCCAGATGTAGCTGTACTTATGCCAGAGTTTTGGGCCATTCGTATTTCAACAAGGAGAGCACTATCTGACTTCCCTCCAGTCTCCTAGGAGAGCAGACTTCTGTCTAAGGCCAGTGTTTTGACTATGACGGGATTCCTAATGGGTGATGGAGCCAAAATATAGTCATTTTACCCTCACCCAGTCTATTCCCCTGCTATCCAGATGCAGGACTCAAATTCTGTTTAACTGTTGCACTTCCTGAGAGGAACTATTTGTGGTATGTGTACAAATTAGTAGATATAAAATAAAGACATAGCATAATTGAAATGTAATTATGAAACAAAAATATGAAACATTTTTAATTGCTCTTTAAAATATGTAGAACAAGGTAAGAAGTACAGTGCAAACATTTATGAAAAGAAGACTAAATAAACATATTGTCAGCTAATTCTAGTGAGCAATATAAAGGGAAGTTAAAGGAAATCTATGCTCACAGCATGCACTTACATCTATAACGTCAGCATTGTAATAACAATACAAACAATAGATATATATGACAATCCGATATCTCCTTTCATGTTGTGAGTGCTGCTTTTCCGCTGTCCATCTCTTTTCACAGTTTTCTGGATTCCCTGCATGCTTTCTGTTTACTTTCA